GCGTGGCGGAACGGTCTCCGCGTGCCGGCGGGAGGCGTGATATTTTATACAGGGGCTCGTGGCAAAGTGAGCGTCGGTGCAGCCCTTGGAAGGGCGACCTCCTGGCGCCGGGATGCGGCCAGGGCACCTGCTTTGCCGCCGAGAGCGGAGCCCCGGGCAGAGCCACATGCCGGCAGGAGCCCTGACGCCCCGGGGAGAGTTGGGGACCTCGGCACGGGAAAGCAAACAGCCCGTCAGCCCCACTCCCCCGGCCGGGGATATGGATCTGCAGGCTCCGTGCCAGGCAGGCGGTGGCCAATCCGTCTTGGAGCGAGCAGCAGAGCTGCGGTTTAGCCGGGGGAGCCTGCGGAAACCACGTCCTCGTGCCGGCAGCCCGGCCAGGACCTGCCAAGAGCAGCAGATGGATGTGGGAATCGAGAAAAACTTTGGGATTTTTTTTTTTCTTTTTCTCAAGGTTTAGGGCACAGCCTCGCGCTCGGGCAAGGAGCCCGGCGGTGGAGCATCGGGGCAGGGTAGGATGGGGATGCGAGCGCACCGGGGGCTGAGACCTGCAGCTCTGCCTGCCCTCGCTCCCATCCGAGCTGCTCCCGATCCCTCGCAGCGCTGCAGGAGATCCCGCGGGAGCGGAGCCGAGCGCCTCGCTCCAGCTGGGGCGAGTCAAGGGCTCTTGCAGCACCGGCTCACGAACCAGCAGCTCCCAGCAGAGCCAGACCAGTGTCTCTGTGACATCCTGCGGGCCGGCGCAGCTGGGGCCGATGACCTGCAGCCAACTCTCCTCTTTGCAGATCAAGAACGCAGCAGCCAACGTCCTGCGGGAAACGTGGCTCATCTACAAGCACACCAAGCTGCTGAAAAAGATCGACCATGCTAAAGTCAGGAAGCATCAGAGGAAGTTCCTACAAGCCATTCACCAGTAAGGGGCTGCACGCCGGGGCGGGAAGGCGAGGGGGAAATGCTGAGCCCCAGGGAAAAATCGTGGTCCAGCCCCTGGCAGGGGCGTGGGGACAATTTCCCGGTGCCTGGGATGGGGGCAGGTCTCTGGCTGCGGTTTGCCGTCGGGGAAGGGTTACAGCCGCATTGCTCTTTCCTCCCTCCCCAGGTTGCGGAGCGTGAAGATGGAGCAGAGGAAGCTGAGCGACCAAGCCAACACCCTGGTTGACCTCTCGAAGGCAAGTCCTCGCAGCGGCCTCTCGGCTCGGCCAGGCTGCCCGCGTGTTTCTGGTCACTTGGAAAAGCTAAAGCGGACCTGGCTGACCGTGAAAGGCGCCAGCTCGGTAGATGTCAGCTGGGAATAGCTGCCCTGGGATGGCTGCCCTTGCAAGGCAAGAGGAGAAACACCAGCCAGGGGCTGGCGGGGTGTCACCCTGCTTCCAGGAAAGGTCTTTTCTCCCTGCACCCCCTTTGCAGCCCCAGCTCGGGGTACCGTTGTGTGGCAGCGCAGGGCCGACCGTCCCTTGCCTTTCTCCCTGCACGTTTTGTTGTCCCAGGGAGAGCCAAGCTGTGGTCACAGTGCCCTGTGAGCTCCTGGAGCAGGCTGGGATGGGGGGGCCTGTCGGGGCTTTGCTCACAGAAAAAAGGGCTAAAGGGCTCAGCTCTGCCAGCGGCCGTGGGGCTGACCCCTCCAGCCATGGCGCTGACCCCTCCGCTGTCCCCTCTGTCCCCTCGCCAGATGCAGAACGTGATGTACGACCTCATCACCGAGCTCAACGACCGCAGCGAGGACCTGGAGAAGCAGATCGGCAGCTTGGAGTCCAAGCTGGAGCAGCTCAGCGCCAGCTTCAACTCCCTGCCCCTGCTGATGGCCGACATGCTGCGCCAGCAGCAGCAGCGCCTGCTCGCCGCTGTCCTGGAGGCACGGGGGGTCGGCGTGCCGGTGGGCACCCCCCAAACTCCTCTCTCCGAGAGCCCCATCGGGGTCAGCTCCACCTCCTTCCCCACCCCGTACACGAGCTCAAGCAGCTGCTAAAACGCAGCCCCCCCACGGACAGGGGAAGCGTTTCCGCACAGGTCCCGAGGTCTCCACGGACTTTCTTCTGGTCCTCGAACCGCCGCAGGACCCTTCGGCCGGAGCCGGTGGGCCCAGCAGCGCCGAGCAACGCTTGGAGCTTTGCCAACGCCTTGGTATCGGGAATCGCATCCCCGTTCAGGTGCCTCTAACACGTGGTGAAGGAAGGGGACGGGAGGCGACGCCGCGGCGTCTGGTGGCGGACAGAAAACCCACGCTCAATCTCAGGTCTTCACGTTTGAAAACAAAACAAAACAAAATAAAACAACCAGTCAGAAGCACTGAAGCAACGGAGACACCCGAGGGAGAGAGTTTTCCTCCCCTGCGTGGACCCCGCCGGGGGCCGGGGCGCTCCCCTCGCCCCCTGCCCCTCTCACCATCGCAAAGCCCCGCCGGGCAGATGCCAACGTGGTGGTTTCTTGCACAGGCTCTGACCTACGCTGCCCATGCTCCATCCCACCTCCTTACCGGGACCCACACGAAGCCCCCCCCCCTCCCATTGCTGGGTGGGTGACAATGTTTGGCCATAACCTGCCCAGGGGGTTCTCCGGAGCCGTGAGTGTTTTCTGCCCCGGCAGAACAAGGGACGCTTCTTCTTTCTGCTCTTGGGTGTCACGTTCTGCCTGGAGACACGTGCTGGAGCGGGGAAAGCAGTGCCTAAAGCGTGCGAGGGTCCGATGCCGGAGGCTGGCGGGCCAGCCTGGGCACTGGGAGGGGGGGGGTGTCTCCAGGTGCTCACATTGCTGCCCCCCAGCATTTTGGGAAGGCAGC